TTGCCCTCGGCCAGGCGCGCGTTTCTGGCGGCCCTGCGGAAGGACCGCGGTTTCTATGTGACACTAGCCCAAGTCTGGGGCTCTTCCTAGGAAAACTGCTTAATTCTTAGTACTTATGTGTCTTCTCGCTGCTGCACCGTCTGCCCTCTAAAAGGTTTTTTTTTTTCTTTCTAATAATTGCACATTATTATATGAAACATATTATATGGAATATGCAAATATACGGAATGAAAGGTCAGGCAGGGAATCATTGACCTGTTTCACTTTTGTGCACCACAGCAGAATTAAGTTTGACTTCCTGAAACACTGTGCAAAAGACTCCCAAACTGCTATTGCCAATGATAACCTGGGGACCTTGGGATAAGGCGAACAATCAAGTGCGTAAATGACTTTGATTTAGCCGAGACATTAAATAGGATTCTTTACCAATTTTCTTATTGTAGCCTGGTATGTGCCATGTCTAGCTTCACTTGAGACCCTCCAAGAATTATGTAGGAAGGAAAATCTCAGCTGTAAATCCATTGGAATCACCAACAGGAATCTAAAGAGTTATGAGGTGGAATATTTGTGTGACTACAAGGTAGACGAGGTAAGAGAAATCCAGACAAATTTGATCACTCTTTCAGCTGAAGTTTGGAGGCAAGCAAAAGGTAGCTTTGATAATAATAAAAATAGTAGGCTGTGAGGGTAAAACTTTCGCTGACATCAAACAATATATCTTTTAAACTTTGAACTATGAACAGGAAGTGGTATATTTGCCTCTTTCACTGTGTTGAAGGAAGGTCTGTTTCTGAAATGATGGAGACACTGGAATAAAAAAAAGTTACACCCAGAGGTAAAGGAAAATGTTGATGTCTTTAGGTTGTAGCTTGGTATATATTATGATGCTTGTCCTTTGTTTGAAGGTAACAGTCTGTTTTTCACTTGAATATTGTTGTTGTTCTTTGAAGGAGTCGGGGCCAGGTGCTGCAGCTGCATTTGTATGGCTTCATTTTGCCAGTGAAATTCAGTTTCAGGACTTGGCTTTGTTACAGTTGCTAGTTATTTGGTCTTTTTTTAAAAAAATAAAAGGGGGTACAAGGTTATGCTTGTTGATGGTAAATACAATACTAAGTGCTGTGAGTAGCTTGCTTCTTTAGGATGATGGTTGATATAACACATTGTGGGTTGGTGGGGTTTTTTGGTGTTTTTTGTTTTTGTTTTGTTTTTGAGATTTGAGGGGTAAGTTTAGACTTTCTTTTCTGTCTGGGATGTTACTGTACACATTACAGTATACATTAATGTATAAGGATACATTAACTTACATAAGTGCTTTAACGAACTAGCTTCCTGCTGGGGTAGAGTTAGTGATCTGAGTTTTTCTTTCCAACTGTGCATTTCTTTGCCTCTAGGTGATTCACAGAGTATACAAAGTTGTGCTATCAGTTAACTTGGAAATGGAAAGCTTGTTTTTTACTTTACCTTGCTCCACAGTCCTAACTGTTATGGGGATGTCCAGACCTGCTTCACTGTATGTCATTAGTTAACTCCAGTGACTCCTTTGTTTTTTTCTGTATGCCCTGTGATACTAGATTTCAGAGAATGGTGTAAAACGTGGCTAAGCCTGTATCTGTTTCTATCTGTATTTCAAGGGCACAGAATACTATCTTGTGAAATGGAAAGGATGGCCAGAATCTTCAAATACTTGGGAACCCTTGAAAAATCTGAAATGCCCTGTGCTTCTTCAAAACTTTCTCAGTGACCAGAATGAGTATTTATCTCGGGTAAAAGAAGGCAAAGCTCTGAAAGTGAAAAACCATGTTAAAGCCTTGAAACCTGCAGTTGCAGATTACATTGTAAAGAAGGCTAAGCAAAGAATAGCTCTTCGGAGATGGAAAGAAGAACTCAACAGGAAAAAGAATCATAAAGCAATGATTCTTGTAGAAAACACTGTGGATCTTGAAGGCCCTCCTTTAGACTTTTACTACATTAATGAGTATAAACCTGCCCCAGGAATAAATGTAATAAATGGAATAACAACTGGCTGTGAATGCTCCGACTGTCCTGCTGAGAAATGCTGTCCAAAGGAGGCTGGATTTCTTTTGGCTTACAATAAACAAAAGAAGTTGAAAATCCAGCCTGGCTTGCCAATTTATGAATGCAATTCATATTGTAGGTGTGGTCCTGACTGTCCTAACAGGATAGTGCAGAAAGGTACACCGTATTCTCTGTGCATCTTCAGAACTAACAATGGCCGTGGCTGGGGAGTAAAAACCCTCCAGAAGATTAAAACCAACAGTTTTGTGATGGAGTATGTTGGAGAGGTATGTATTTTATCTTTGTTATGTAGCTGTAATAGAAGAAAGAGCAAGGTAGCTTAGTATGCTTCCTCCCTGTCTTATACTTACTGGCTTTTGCTATATAGCAGCTAAGTATACTTCTGAGTACAGGAATACACTAAACTGACATTAAAGTTGGCAGTAAAATTAACGTGCTATTCAGGACCTCCTCTACTCCAGAGCAATTTTAAAAGGTGGAAGGAACATGAAGAGAATACTGTTGTTAAATGATTGTTTTAGCTATGGACGCTGCCAAGTTTTTTAAAAGACAAATTCTTCTTTCCTTTAGTGTCAGTTGTATTCTCCTTCCTGATCATCTACTTCGGTTATTGTAGCTTTTGTTTCCAGAGCACTTTTAATACTGATCTCACTTTCCAGGCTCAATTGTTAACAAATCCCCCACCCAGTCTGTAATACCTTTCTTTTTGTTTTGTTTTGTTTTGTGCGAACTTTAAAAATAGTAATTCCAGACATGTTTGTTAATTCTGACAAACATGAAGAACAAGACTTACAACATGGACATTAGAAATACAATTTCAAACAGAACTTTATGAGATTAAGTAAACATTATTCTTGAGATTTTGTACTGTGCTGAGTGAAACTGCTCTGCTCCACCATGGCTGTTAAATCAGTAGCTCCTGGCAGCCTTTCTGACCCCATCTACGGTATTTCTGCCACATAATCTGCCTTGTTACTAAGGCCAGTCCAAATAACTTCTCTTTTTTTCTCTTCTTACTATCCTTATTATCATCTTTACTGTATTTCCTGCATTGTTCCTGTCTCAAACATTCTGACTTGTCGTGTTCTTACCCCTTCTATAAAATTCTGCAAACATGCAAATAACCAGGTAATCAAAAATAATGTTTAAGTTAGTGTATTGTTTAAAGCAAAAAAATGTGTATTTAGCTTCACACCTTAGTGATTCCCTACAGCCAAATATATTCTCAAATCTGGTTTGTCTGAAGGATGTAAGAGATGACTCTCCTTGTGAGATTGTACTGTGTTTCATGTGTCTCTCGCTGCCAAATTGGGATTTTGTTGCTGAGTCTGCACAGTAGAATGCACTTGAAATAGCGGATTGCAGATCAAGTTGCTTAATCTGTTGCTTCTGTCAAAAGTGGCTGTCATTGTTTTGCTCCTTCAGGGAGTTTCTAGGTTTCTCCCTTGAGCTAGGCTTATCCCAAGCTTAATTGCATAGATCCAGCTTTGTGCACTGATTGTATCTGTCCAAGTTGTTGGAAAATCAGGAATTCCACAGGGGCAGGAAGGCCTTCCATTACAGTAACAAATAGCAGGAAGAGATGCTTCTAGGAAGAGGAGATGAGTACAGGATGATAAATGTGACTAGATATCTCTTGTAACTTCAAATGTACAAAGAGAGAGGGAGGTTTATTTATTTATTTATGTAAGTAGTGAAGTCTTGTGCCTAAATGAAAAAGATATGTGGATAGAAACAATTGATTTTGTCTGTCAAAACCAAACATTTTAAGAGATTTTTTTTTCCTGAGATAGGTAATACTGTGCAAATTACATCCAAAGAAGTGTTAGTTACTAACTAATTAGTTTAAATACCTGTATTTATGTTTTTCTTAGTCATTGTAGACAGAATGCTATCTTAACATCAAAACAGTGAATGTACTGGGTTTTTTATTAAGTGTAGGATTTTTTTCTAACTTAGTGGTGCTATTTTAGTTTTATTAAGTAATAATTATGATACCTTTTTTTCCTTTATTTCTTTTCTTGTTTCTTTTTTAGGTGATCACAAGTGAGGAAGCAGAGAGACGAGGCCAGCTCTATGACAACCAGGGCAATACCTACTTGTTTGATTTGGACTATGACTCAGATGAATTTACAGTAGATGCAGCTCGCTATGGAAATGTGTCCCACTTTGTGAATCACAGTGTAAGAACTTATTTTTGATATTGAGAACTTGGGGAATTATTCAAATTGCAGTAGAAACATCTTCACCTATTTATAAATATTTTCTTATTGTAGTCAGATTTTTTCTGGAGTATTTTTTCATGCCAACACAGTTCAGTTAGCTAAATAATAAAATATAATACAAGAAGTAGAGTGGATTACTTTCCCTTTAGTCAGAGTAAGGCCATTGGTTACAAAGATCTGCAAATAAAAGACTGTCTGAACTGGGCATATGGTAGTACTGGGTTTGTCACTGAATTTCGAGCCCATCAGCTACTGAATCTAATAACCAAAATATTTTTTTTAGTCATTTGACTAAAGGACCTCATGTATGAAAAACACTTAATAAAATCAGGAAAGAGGCAAAGATGAGAGCAACTGTGGGATTCTTTGTTACTAAGTGGATATTATTAAATATAATCCTTCAAAAATTGGTAAAGGACTTTTTTTCTATCCTTTCTTGAGCATTTCCTTCATATGATAGTCTTTCTTTCTTTGGTATTTCTTTCATTTCACTACTACTCCCTTCCCGTCCTACCCCAACTACCAAATCTAAACTTGGCAGAGAACTCGGAAGTGAATTTTAAACAGAATATTTTTATTGTGCTTTATTTCCTGTTCAATTGAAATAGCCAAGACAAGAAGGCTGCACTGTATAAAGTGAATTATAATAACTCTTAATTCAGGAGTGATTTGTTTCTTACTGATTATGTGTTTGTGAGAAATACAGTTGATGTTTAACCAGTACAATAAGTTCGTGTATTTTATTTATATTTGCGAGCTGTTGATATAATTTGTATTTTGTGTAGCCACATGAGGGAGAAGGCTGAGAATGAGCTTTAGGTAATCCACATTGCTCTTCACTTTTGGGAGTTGCTCCAAAGTAGTCTTGTGTCAGATCATAAAGTTAAGTCAGGTTTCATGCCTGATATTCTGATATATGCTGCATTTTGTGTTCTTAAAGAACAACAACAAAAGAGGAATGCTGAGAGTTTTACAGTCTGTCTCAGTGACTCCTGACAATTTAGAAGAAGTGATATGAAGTACTGTTTAGTCTTGCTTAGTGTTCCCAACCTCTCAGCCCCATCCAGGGCAAACAATTCAGAACCCGAGTAGATTAGCACTTAGAAATTTACACATAGTATGAAAATATTATTTCTGGCCTGGAAGCAATGTTTAAACCTAAGTACAGAATAGTGAGTATATGTAGCATGAAAAATAGGTCATCTGCTTTTCTCCCACCTTTATTTTTTTTTTGTTGTTGATTTGGTCTTTTGCCAGCTTAGTTAGTAAAACTTCTGAAGTGTATTTTACTTCTGAGTGTATCTTAAATTGCTTTAAGTTTTGTTATTGTTAAGTTTTGTTTTGTTTAGATATTTTTGCCATATCTTGAAGTTTTGCTTTTTTTTTTTCTTGATAGGCTGTTGCGCATTAATGTAGCCTACTTACTGTGTAAAGGCAACTTCTTAAAAGAAGTCTACTTGAATATATGAACGTTCTGGTAATGCTGTTTATGGAAACATAATTTGTTGATTTCAGGAGATAACTTGATTTCAATCCTTTATCACTGAGAAAATAACCACTGCTTCCTTTCCTGTGACCATAATTTATTTGCAGAAAAAAGTTTCACTGCTTCCTTGTGTATCTTGCAGTGTTTATTCTTGTAACAGAAACTACATTAACTTTTACCTTGCAGTGTGATCCAAATCTTCAGGTCTTCAATGTGTTTATCGATAATCTTGATCTGCGTCTTCCTCGGATAGCACTGTTTTCTACAAGAACCATCAAAGCTGGAGAAGAGTTAACCTTTGATTATCAGATGAAGGGTCTGCAGATCTTTACTACCTTTTTTTTTTTTTGTGTGTGTGTGTGTGTGTGTGTGGGAGACATGGTTTAATAGTAGATCTTGTTGCAGCCAGATAGCAGTATATTGGGTCAGGCTAATGTTGCATTTCACTAATACAACTCTGTGGATTCTAGAACAGAAATTATCTCATTGACTTGTAGCGCAGACAGAGCAAATGGGAGATTTTGTGTGTTTTATTGTGTTGTTGTGTTTGTGTGGTATATCATGTCCTTCGGCATTCCTAGCTCAGAGGGAGGAATTTTGGTTGGAAACTCTCACAAGGCAACTTATTTGGAAGATTTGCCACAAAAATGCTCAAAAGATGAAATAAGATGAAAACATGTTTGGATACCATTTGGAAAAAAAAATGGTATTTCCAGATTGACTGCTTTTGAAGTAATCTTTGTAGATGCAACTGCTTGTGACAGCTGCAAAGAAAACAGTGTCGTCTAAGGTGTATTGTAGGTTTGTGTTTATATCCTAGTGTTTGTGCTCCTCAGCTGTGGATTTTGTGTAATGTTCAAGGCAGACTGAAGTCTCAGCTGATCAGTATTGACATGGTCCTGAGTCTCTTTTGTGTAATGTTCAAGGCAGACTGAAGTCTCAGCTGATCAGTATTGACATGGTCCTGAGGATACAAGGCCCATTTTTTCTTTTGTGCTTTGATTGACATGTGTGCTAGGTGTTGTGTAAGTCATTGTAACATGGATATCCGTGGAATTGTGCTTAGCTTTACACGCTATTCTTGAAGAGCTAGGGTGGTACAAAGCCTTTGTCTTGGACACATTCCACAGTTTCAGTTGTGGTTTTTTTGTTTGTTTGTTTGTTCCTTTTTATAAGCTTCCTTATTTGCATTTGTGTGTCACAGGTTCAATAGATCTGACTTCAGACTCTGCTGATGGTCTTAGCCCCTCCAAAAAGAGGATCCGAACTGTGTGTAAATGCGGAGCTGTGTGTTGCAGAGGCTATCTCAACTGAGGCCTGGTGTCCAAAGTTACAAACACCTCGTTCTATTTTAAATGGATTTTAAGAAGACTGTACTCTTTTGCATAATTCAGAGTATTTTTACATATAAACAGGTACAATGAAAACAAGGCATTACGTTGGTATTCAAAATGGCACTGGCCAAAGAAAGAGATATAGTGTTATAGGCAAATACAAAACCAATACCATGGACTAAAAGTTTGTATTTTTTTTTTCCTAGCACTGTTATTAGGAAGCAGTAAAATGTATGCTAAGAGAACACTTGAAGATGTACCTTAATTTGAATATTGAGTGTAAACTTACAGCCCTAGGCATTTTAAGAGCTAATTTCAGTGAGATGAAAGGATATTATGTACTTTGTGTACCTTGAAAAGACAAGACTGAAGGCATTGTGTTTAAGTCCTAAATCATAGCTAACAGTCCTCCTGCCTTTTTTTTTTTTTAATTTTTATTTTGCTATTTAAAACAAAAGCTCTTAAGAGATTAGCAATAACACTTATGGCACCATGGTGAAGAATTAAGGAAAGCCATCAGACTTTGTCTAGATGAAGGTTCACAAAAATTAAGATTTTAAAATGTCCATGAAATTCCTCATAAGTAAAGTCATTGGCATTAGCAAATTCTGAATATAAGAGCAGAGTTGCAAAAAAAAATGTTTTTAGTTTATCCAATAGAAATTTTAACTTATGTTCTGAATTTTAGTTGGGATGCTACAGACAGTCTGCAATTCTACAGAGAACTTGTAAATATCAGATTATTGGTATTAACATATGCTGTTTGTTTTGATTGTATAAATTTGGCAGTCATTGCTGAAACAAATTACTGGTTACAATTTGGAAATAGTTAACAAAATAATAGGGAAAGCAGCCCCGTTGTTTAACAAAGCTGATACGTTACAAAGATAAACTCAGTTATCTGTTTAGGTACAGAAAGAAATATCCTGGGAAGTGATTTGTGTTCACAGCTGTTTTGATTATGTTTATACATACTGTGACTTTTTTATCTAGTGACAGATTTTTTAAAAGTTGGCCTCTCTTTTTTCTTGTTGCAAAAATGTTAACTTCAGTGAAGTTAGGCTAGGGGTTGAATTGACCTACTTGTTGTAGACATATGTAAGATGTTTTTTGAATGTAAAGGCTGAGAAATACACTTTGCTTCAGCTGCTCGAATCTTTTTTTTTTTTCCCGATCATCTTAAAGTTGTGTTGATTTTTATTGATAAACATATGCGAAGTTTTGCTTGGCTTCAGAAACACTGAAGAACAGTTGAGTTAGGTTATGAGTAGAGTTACAGCCATGGTCCTTACTCCAGGGATGACTTAAGTGCTTTATGTTCATGAATTAAAAGCTTGTAAAACTTGCATACCGCTCACAAATCATGTATGCGTGGATAGGGTCATGCGGATTAATGTTGCTCCATAAATGGACGCTCGCTATGTATCATAGGTCAGCTAGTTACCTTCATAAGGTATGAGGCTGTTGGCTCAGGTGAATGAAGTCAAGTACCCAGCATATAACAATTTACTTAATTTGTTAGAAAATGCCTTAAACTCTATGTTAATTACTAGTGCTCTAACAAGAGTGTTGTTGGTTGATTAAGCACAGTTGCATTTGCACTGAAGATCTGGCTCTCTGGCAGAAGGTGAAATTTTATGTGCTACTAGAAAATGGTTTGTGGTTTGGATGAAGAGTGAGGGCCTTTGGAAGTGCTTTGTGAGTTTTGTAATCTACAGAGATACACCTTGAAATAGCTACTGTATATTGTTTATTGAATAAGAAGAAGCTTGCCTAGATTTAAAGGTATCTGACATTACCAGGCTTTGCTGTATCCACACTTGGATAAATGCAAGATAAATGAACAATTTTTATCATATCATGTCTCTAAGAATCGTTTATAAAGCTTACGTGGAATGTGGAGCTTTAATGTTAACAAACTCTAGATGAACTTATGTCATTCGGAATCAATAGGTTTTCTCTTGCATGTGGCCTGGTTCAGCGATGCATTCTGTGTGGATGGAATCTGTGATCTCCAGCTCCTTAATCTGTTGCAGATCTGCAGCCTTTCCTGTTGGTTTAGGACTGCCAGAGTGGCTGTGGCAAGAAGCAGAGTCTTTGCCAGATCCCTTCTCAGGCCTCTCCTGGACAAGATGACATAGAGGTGGTTTAAAGCTCTTCAGTTTTTGCCCACACCCAGTTTGACTTAATCCCAAGTAAAAGCATTTTAAAAGACAAAGTTCTACTAGTTGTACTTGAGTTTGTCTGCCTCTTCTCAAGGCAGTATTTGTTATCACCAGCATTGAAATAACACTGCTGTTCTTCAAGGATATGTATGTTACCTCTTTGTGTGATGAATAAAGGACCTTGAACTTAGACTTCGGGAGGTAACAGTATTTTGTATTTATTTGGCATAAACCCTCATGCATCCAGGTTCTCATTTTGAACCTTAAACAGTATTTTATATTTACAGTGTATTTCAGTTCACCATCTGAGAACTAGCTGAATGGGACACTTTCAAAAAAAAAAAAAAAAAAACCTCCTTTTGCTGTTTTCAGGAGTTTAGGGGAAAAAATTGCCAAACTGGAAAAGGAGAAAAAAACTATTTCCAAGGTCTTAAGGAGCCTAAACCAGCCCAGCTTCTGCTTCGTGGTCTCTTAGCTTCATGATGGCCACCAGTGCAGCTGGTAACCTGTGATCTGTTCTCTGGCTGGTTTTCTTAAGTAGCAGAACTAATGTTGCAGGATCATCTGTAAGAAAAGCTATTATGTATTTATTTAATCTCCAAGTCAAGTCAATCTTTTGGTTATTTCTAATGTATGTTTTAGGACTGTATACATTAGAATATGCAGTTTGTAAGCTCAGGAACATTTTCTTTTCATATTCTGTGATCTTGAGTATTGCTATCTTCCTATAGTTTTTGATAAAATAAATTAAACTTAGTTTTTCTTTGGTTGTTGTCATTCTTAAAAATCTCTCAGTTCACTGTAACTAAAGCAGTAGCATCTACTGTAAAAGTGCCCTGCTCTTACAGCCCTGGGCCCAAGGTCTAAAGGCTTCACAGGGCTAAACTCCAGCAAAAGGGCATGAATAAATCACGTGCTTCTTATTCACTTTATGCTGATAAGAACTGGTATTAGTTTTCATTGAGTTGTCTAAAACTGATTGGGTTTTGTTACATTTTGGCTTTAGGAGCCAGGAACTGTGCAAAACTTTAGTTATCAATGCAAATGAGAGGGAGATGGATTATTTTGAATTAAAAAAAAGTCATGGGAGTGCTGGAGGAGGCAAAACTGGGTAACAAGTGATTAAGTAACTTAATAGAAACTATCCAAGGTAACAGGTTAACTGCTATTCCTATGACTTAATTTCATAACCCCATTACTATAATAGATTTTGAACAAAAATTCATGGATTTTTTTAAATAGTTTCAAAAGAACATGGAATAAATGAAAACACCAAAGAACTGAGGACAAGTTCTTTACAAAGTCACAGACACTGATTTATTGAATCATGTTAAGGTGTTAAAGGGGGTGACAACATTTACTCAGCTTAAAAAAAAGAAAGACTTAAAGGAAAAAACCTCTTTACACTGTTTTACAGTTGTTTATAAAAAAACTGAAAACTCCTACTTCAATTGTATAACTACTCTATTTGCATCATCATTCATGGAAGAGGGCCGGTTGTTTACCACACTTCAAAACAAGGCATTTTAATGAAGCTTGAGTTCATATACATCTTTATCAAAGGTGAACTCTTGGAGGTTGATAAAAAAAAAAAAAAAAAAAAGCCACACACACTAAATTCCATTGTGTTCCAGTGTTAGTTTTGTCTGGTCTAATTTCTATCCAATTATGCTCTTAGAGAGCTAAACTACATGAGGTAGAAGGCTTTTATAATTTTTTATGAATATTTTCTTTTTGGTATTTCATAGAAGGAATAAAACTTTAGGCTGTAACCCAGCATACCATTTATGATGGTAAAATATGGTTGAAGAACTGCACAGATCAGTGTACAAGAAAATACTTTGCATAAATAGTATAAGAGTATTTGGGGAGTCTAAAAAGCAAATTTCAGTATCCATAGTCATAATGTAATCACTTAAACTTGGTTTCAGAAAAGATTTTGTTGTTCACTATGTTTTCACCTGCTGCTAGCCTCCTATATAAACAGTGCAGTGTATCTGGCTGAGGTAGTTCAGCATCAGGAGTGAGGGGAATTTCAAAGTCAGACGAGCTCTGAGAGTCTTTCTTCAGCTCTAGATCAGGAGTCCTGGAACTGTCACTTACTTCCAGTAGCGCCTCTTGACTGTGAGCACTGCCACGTTCTGCATCCTCCTCTTTGCTTTTCAAATCATGGACAACATCATATGCAGAAGATCTGTTGTGCCCTGCTGGCCTGCACCGATTGTTCTGGGCCTGATTATCTTTGGTGGTTTCATGCAATGTAGAAGCCCCTGCTCTGCTCCCACCTTTGTTGAAGCAGCCGAAGTCAGAGGCATTTCTCTCCTGGGAGGTAATGAGCACTGTGTCCATTTGGCTATCCCAGCCTTGGCTCCCCTGCTCCGATATATGTGTTGACTGAGAAGAATTTTGGGAGGAGATGTGTGTCGAGTCACTGACTCCATCTGAATCACTGAAGAGTGACTGGGACCCACCACCAGCTTCTGCTGAAGAGGGGAAGTTGTCCTCATTTTCAGAGCTTTCATCCATTCTGTGGCACTTAAAAAATGCATCCCAGCGAGGCAAGTTTGCATGACACTCCTGTTGGTCACCAGTTACTCCAGAAGTTAACTCAGGGTGCTTTTGTCCACTGGAATTTGATGCAGATGTGCCATCTGCCTCAGGGGAAAGAACTTCATCTGTGTTTTTTTCAGATTCTTCTTCATTATCATCATCATCATCATCATTAGATTCCTCACAGTCCATGAAGTCTACCTTGTGAGAGGTATATGCTGTGGTTGCTGTGTAACTTGGTGTGTTCTCATTGGCTCCTTCTGTGTTTTCACATGGAATCATCTTAAATGACGTGGTCTTTGCCTGCAGTTTTGGAATCTTAGGCCTCACAGAAGTTAGTTCAGTATCAAAGAGATCATCTTCATCTGTCAAGAGAAGCCTCAAATAAAAATCACACTACAAACACTTAGCACAAATAATTTAGCAGAGCTTTGAGAATATGGATTTTTAAACAAAAATTCCTTTAGTAAAAAGGAAAAAGTTCTTTAATCCAGATGGAGGCTCAGCAGGACAATACAAGGTTTACTGTCCAAAAGATCATTTTCAGTAGTGTTTGTCTTGACTTGTCTAGCACAGTGCCTTACAGAGGAAGCTGCTAGTTGTGACCTTCCATATAAAGCTGCAGCTAGTTCTACCCTTTTGGTTTGTATTACTCAAACCACATTGCTAGTACCCAGCAGAGTCTTCTATCTGGAGCAGACAAATAAAGAGAATCCTTCTATGTAATACCTTCAGCATCATCTTGATTATTCACTAATTATTTGTAGGATCATGCCCTAAACAGGGATTTAAAAAATTAGTTTCAAGAAAGTAGTTTGCAGATTAGCAAACTAAAGAGTTTGTTTTCTCCTTATCACAATATTGACTATTGCTTGTAGTAAGAAACACCTTTAATCAAAGCAGTAATGGAGCCACTGAAGGTGTCAAATGACTTGGGAGCTCTTGTTACTAAAAAGCTCACTTCATTTTTTCCATGTTTTGAATAAGGTTGAGTCAAACAGAGCAAACAGTCACATGGAACAGTTTCAAGATGCCAGAGCAGACATTCCTTCCTCTGGCCTTTATGCATGGGGTGCAGATCAGAGGTAGCCTGGGCAGACAGTGACATAGTTCACGTTAGTCTGACCTCTGTCATGTGTTGCCCAAAATTTGATGCTTTGGGAGCAGCTGCAGAGAATGCAGCAAGGCCACAATAGTTCACAGGCAGTAATAAAGACCATATTCACTATAAATTAACAGCAGGGTTGTAGTTCACTACTGTGAGATTGGTTTTCATGGTAGCTTAAGTAGTCTCTTAACACTGGGATTATTTTTGAAGTAAAGCACATCAGGCCCAGCCACCTCTGAACAGCTACTGATAACTTCAGTGCGAGTCTGCTACTGTTTCAGGTTTTATTTGAATTAAAAGTTCACTTTTACACAATTAGTCCTCCATCATCCTCACAGAAAGTACACTGGTTTTGTTTGTCTTTCTTCTACCGCTTTGTTCACAGACATACAGTGAGCACTACTGCTTTTGGCATTGATTTATAAGGGGCAGCTCTGCTCAGTCTAGGTACCTACAAGTGGGGCACAGTGGCACCAGAAGGTTCATGAGAGGTTTGGCTGCAAAACCTTATTCTTACAGAGCTTTTACCTGTGTCAGACAAGTCTGGTTTGTGGACTCTCTTCAGTGTTCCTAAGGGCTTGTATTTGGGTTCCACATTTTTTCTGTATGATCTGCATAATGGCTTTAATCTGAAAGGAAAAGGAAACTCAGTATTTAGAGCTCAGCAGGTACATTTTCAGGAGCAAAAGGAAAACTAAACTTGATCCCAGTACACTGCCTCACACCTTTCATAAGCACTGCAGAAAGCAGCAAATCTGTAGCAGGCCCAAATTTACAGAGGTAGGAAAAGAGCTCTTGATTCCTTGGCGAGTTTAACCAGTTAAAAGGCAAAGTCTGTCATTTACCTTAAACACCACTTCAAAACTGTCTTTTAATCCCTTGTGTGGGGGTGACGAGATGACAGGAATCTACACATTTGGTTTCAATTAAGTATTTCTTTTCTTACTAAGAAAAAAAAGTAAAAGACAGACTCAGGAGAGCAGCTGTCGTGATGGTACCAGAGGTTCCATCACCTCCATTCACCAGCCACTTACGTTTCAATAACTTGGTCTTCTGTCAGACCCACTGGCAGAACATTGGGATACACATTCACAGGACAGATATAGCTCAAGAAATCCTTAATCTAAATTGAAAAAAAAGGAGAAACAGTTTAACAAATTACACCAACAGTTAATGGCAGCACAAAGCAAGTACTTCAGATGTCCCATGTAAAGAACAGCACAACCCGAGCCAAACACTATCAGAGTGAGTAGCTTTGTAATAAGAGAACAGGTTGGAACAGGATGTCAAATACTCAGTCTCACCTAACTGCCCCATGGCAGCATCAGCTGCACAGACCATCGATACCTTTGAAAGAAAAGATCAGATAAACCCACGATGGCGATTCCAACACATTCCTAGGAAACAATGATCTATCCTGTAGGAATCCCATTAGGGATCTCTTCCCTAATGCTAGAACTGCATTTTTCTTACTGGACTAGTTACTAGTTGTACAGACTGCAGTATTCCCTTCCATTCTGTTCTAGCCCTACCTACTCTAAGACTTTTTTCAAGTCTCCCTTTAGTCCTCTATAAAAAGACTGTATCGCCAAACACATCGCTTGCCCAAACCCTTCTTTTCTCTCACTGTTGTCTTTTGGATGCTCTCCAGACCACAAGTTGCTGAAGAATTTTCACCAGTTTTTAGCACTCCACTTCAAATGGGGATTTATCAGTGCTGCTAGTTGAAAACAGTTGTATGTTTGCAACCCATTCTGCTACCTATACACACCAGGAGGACCTGTCTTTTTTTGCATAGGAGGTACAACTCTTACTCACAATATGCTAAAACTGCCATATTCTGCCAGAAGAGCTGCCATATGGCAAGTACTGCTTCTTAGGACTTCCATTTACAATTCTGCAAGGCAAGGCAGAGGAAATCAGAATCATTAACGGGGTACCTTAATAGCAAGAGCATTTTTCTAGGGTGCTGAAGTGCCCATTTTGTGAGTGTAGTGCTTCTGACAAGCTGTTTTTTAGCTCCAAACCAGTTGCAGCTTAGGTTTCTGAGGAGAGAGAACTGGATCAAGTCATTAAATGAAGGTGTATGGACCTGAAGAGGGTGCTGCAATCTCTTGTTTAATTTTAGTCTTTGGTGCAAAAAGAGGAGTAAGTGTGGCTACTAAGATGCAGAGAACTCCACTGGGATGTGTGGACACAGGAGAGCAGTCGAGCCAACCCAAACCTGAGTCACAGCAGATTAAATTAAGGAACACCCAAGCTCCAGGCTCTGCAAGGACATGATAGTTACGGTATTCTAACATACAAAGGCAGTCAAACAGCAGCAGTAACCTACCCTTCCAGAAGATAACAAGCAGCAAGATAGGTTTGTAAACCTGCCCTATTTAACATGTTCTTCTGCAGCTATATAGAAATATTGCCAGTTTTGGGACTGTCCCATCTTCATTATCCAGATCTTCCTATTATTATGTCTTACTACAGAAAGAGATTTCTTTGTGACAGTCATGTCATTCACCACAAAGTGATCAGAAATACTTCAAAAGTTTTTGTTCGTCAGTGTCTGCTCAGAAACGCAAGTTTACAAACCTCACTGTACGAAGAGTGAAAAGAGAAACAAGCTCTGTATGAACTCTCCCCTGTCCTAAAAAAAAAAAAAAAGAAAAAAAGAAAAGAGAAAATTAGGTAATCTGTCTTCATGCTCACTTTAAAGGCAAGCACAGACTACTACTAAAAGTCCATTTTGAGCCTAAGTTATAAATAACAGGGCAAGATTCACACAAGGTTTCCACAGGATCCAAGTGCTCACCTTACTATGACATTGGATTTTTTGTTCCTTTCTCCAAACCACATTGTGGAGGGTTTGATGCTAATTATGTGTAAGCGAGTTCCATTTTGGGAAGTCACTCCGCATGGCAGTCGGTTCCCTCGAAAACAGTCATCATCCTGTCAAATGAGAAAGGAAAACTAGTGCAATCCAATAGGAAAACTAGTGCAATCCAGATTTTTTTTTTGTCAGAAATGAAGCACTATAATAAACCTAGGCCAAGTTTTCATCCATATTCTAACTCTCTAGGAACACCACCTCTGATGATGCCTTTTGCTTCCACAGTGTAGCTGACAAATCAGTCATCAGAAGCTGCACCCCTGTTCCATCCAGTTCTACTTGTGCTACTTACTCCAGAGTGAAACATTTTGCTTCATGAGCATCCTGGAAGGGAAGGTCGCAAACTCCTGGCACACTATGTGCATGGCTGCAGGAGGCATCGTAAAGGAGGCTTGAGATGCATTTGAATGGATAACATCTGACCCATTGAATCTGCTTTTCATCAGCTCACTTCATGCATCAGATAAAATTATTGTAATATGAAAACGTTACTTCTAGCATCAGCATTTAGCCCACTAAAATTCTCACTCGTTTTTGCATTACACCAACATTTGCTTCAAGACTCCTTTCCTAAAGCCCCGCTTTGCTAACAACAGCACCAAAATATTGGCACCTAGGAGGCATCGTAAAGGAGGCTTGAGATGCATTTGAATGGATAACATCTGACCCATTGAATCTGCTTTTCATCAACTCACTTCATGCATCAGATAAAATTATTGTAATATGAAAACGTTACTTCTAGCATCAGCATTTAGCCCAATAAAATTCTCACTCGTTTTTGCATTACGCCAACATTTGCTTCAAGACTCCTTTAGCAAAGCAGGGCTTTAGGAAAAACAGCACCAAAATATTGGCATCTCCGACCAGTCTTTCATAGCTTTACAAAATAATACCCACCCGAGGGTGTCTGCAGGCATGAATTTGAGTGTTTCGATCTGTAGTAATATGATAGAGGATTTCTGGCATATTTTTGAACATGTCAAGTTTGTTCACATGCACCTAGAAAGAGACAATATTTATTCTTAATTGGTTAAACGCATTTTCCAAATTGCAGCTAGAGTAATTATAAAGATGTGGTTTTGCCTTCAACAAATATTGGGCAAATATTTAAACAATTTAAACAATTACTATCCACTAATAATGTCCCATTAGAGAACTGTTACCCAAAGATGTTTTCGATATTAACAAGCAGAACATACCTCCTATGCTACAGAAGGAGAAAGAATCAAAAGTCAAACCAGTCAAAAAGTTATCTGCTAATTATTAGTGTCACTTGGAGACAAGAAGACTTTTCTCATGGCTCCTAAGATGTAAGGAAGAGAGATAAACATTGAGCTTGAAAAGTGGAGATTAACTAACTTCTTCCTACTAACTAACTAGAACCCAGATGTTCCCGTGGATGACAGGGACTGAAATCAGTTAGCTCATTCTTGAGAACGACTGTATTTTTTCTTTCTTTTTTTTTTTTTTTAAAGAACAGTTAATAAAAATGTGCACACTTTCACATGCAACAGTCCTCTGAACAGGCATTTCTAGCTCAATGACTGGATACAATCTTTATTCAGGGTCTGTTTTAAGGCAACAATTACAGAAGTGTTACCTTGATTCCAAGTTCCTCACTGAGGTTTGTGAATAAATACTCATATCCATAGGCAGCTTTGCAGTTCAGCCACACCACATGATAGCGACTCAGTGCAGTCCAGCTTCGCACCAACTCCAAGATGCCATTTAAACACTCCTCCTAAAAGGAACAGGAACCGTTGTAAATTTGTCACTGAGAACTTCTACAGTGCAATGCTGTAAAAATGCACATCATACAAGATTTCCCTAACAGAGGTCTGGGTTAGGAATAATTATTCCTAATGGCTGATTTGGACTTACCCTGCTTGGTATATGATAAAATCTGGGATCACAAAAAGTAGTGTCCAAATATACACTCTGGATGTCTCTTACCCTGAAAGACAGCAACAATGTCAGAGCAAGCAGTGCTTCACAGCATTAAGATACACCCTTTCCCCTCTCTTCAGAAGGGGAGAATTCTTCCTCTTTATCCACACAGACCAAGCCAAAAGGGACTTGTAACTGCACTATCACTTTAACTGCAAATGTATTTAGTCCACAATGAAAACTGAGGAAAAGAGGATATTATTCCCAAATTCTCCATGCCTGCTCTATATTTTTAAATTGGTCTTTCCAAATCTCATCAACAGCTAAAGCCTCACTAGAATCTGAATTGAAATGTAATTATTTTTCTGATACCTGGTCCCTGAATGCAGAAGCTCCATTCTGGCTGCTTCTCCTTTTGCAAGCCTGAAATCCCCTGTATACAGTATTGTGCCATTATCACCTTGAAACAAAAACCTACAAACAGAAACGGTCTAGTCAGACACAACAGTGTAAAACATCAGCTGCCAGGCAGAGAAGTCCAAGGAGGAAGTTTCAGAGAAAGTGCATGGACGTAGAAACACTGGGCTCAATTTTGTCCTAAGGTAATTTCAGAAAAATGCAATGATTCAGACTCAGTATGTCTGGGATGCGACCTCCCTGGTCAACTCTGAGCAGCTCACACATAAAAACCCCACTGGTTCTGCAAGGGGCAGTCCAGCTACTGCAGCCAAGGGAGTCTAAAAGGCATCTGAGCCAGGAAGCTGGACAGCTTCTTTTCCATGACACGCTTAGGAATGGGGGAGCTTGCTCTTAACCATAGGTTTGCAGGTCGTCTCCAAGTAGCAATTTCCTTGACTACAGGTTTACATAAAGGCCTAGGGAATGATAATCTGCCCCATCAGGGTAGCAAATAACTTCTGTCTGGACAGATCTCAAATAACACAGAGGACTGCTGGAGGGTACTACCACATTCCTAAATAAGAGCTTTATATTCACTAACTTTTTCTAGTTAGAAGAAACTGTACTTGAGAAGGTTATAGGACAGATTTCCCAGCAGAGATATCTGGAACGTTGGAAGGACATACATGACTGATCCTGGGCAGTGACCAGCTGGTAGAAGCGTCACCTCTATATCTTCTTTCTGGAAGAGATGGGCTAGCATTATTTTCACACTGTAATCAGTATCGATGGTACTTTCACCAATACAGTGAGAGCAATTCCCTACTACCCCCAGCTACACACTGGAAAAAAAGAAGGGGAAAACAAACACAAGTTCTTTTTTCCCATGCTCTTTTAAGCATTGCTACAGTCCACTGAAAGTATACAAATATTGTTTGTAACCGATTACCTCACCAGATGTTTCATCTACTAAAGAAATTTGAGTGGGAGTTTCAATTTCCAATGCAATCTGTAACAAAATGAATAAATGCATCACAAGCTGTACTGAACACTTTGTTTCATATTTATGGCTATACATTCACTGCATAGACATCTTTACCATCCACTGTGGCTGATGCTAAGCCTGTAAAATTATGCTCATTTCCCTGCAGTAAGTTACGCATTTCCACAGGAGAGGAAAAAAAAGTTGATATCTAAAAATGAAATGGAAAAACCCTGGTTAGGGTGTGCATGCCTAAAAAAGGCAAGTGTTGGACCTTAAGATAGGTCAGGTTGGCTTTCTCTGGCTGGAGCTTATTTTGGAAGGGTACAGAGCCTGTGCATGACCAGTGCACAGGTTCACAAGGGCTCTGTGCTGCTACAACAAAACCTCCCCTCTTCCCAATGGCTTCCGGTTACATTAATGCCAAGTCACACATTGCAGATTAATCCCCTGTTTTGCTTCATCCTTTATTGAAATCCAGAGACGTTGAACACAGATGTTCTGTTGCGCTCTGCAAGGTTCATGCTGCTCAGTGGGCTCCTCCTTCCCCCATCCTCCTGGTTTTCCTCTTTGTCCCAGCCAATATTTACATGCAATTTTCCTGACAAAGAAGGAAAGACTCCTGTCATCACCCTTCTAGCTTTGCATCTGAACTGTCTGCTTGGCTTTGGGACTTTTACTGCACCAGATGGACTCACAAGACAGCACACCCCAAATTTCTGGGCAGCAATAAGAATTCTTTCAGCTGGTACATGCACAAGCCTGTAGCATTTGACATCTCTGCCAGAAACGACAAAAATCAGTCAAACAGCTATCAAAACCCTTCCTTGCTCCAGATCAGATGCAGACCTCAAAATGCATTTTAGACTAAGAATTCAAACCCATAGTAAGTGTCCAGTTTGATCATTTGCATTTTTTGAAGCTCAGTGAATTCACAAGGCTGATGTTAATTCCACATGTTCATTGGGCTCTTAAGGGTGCCTACATCTTAGACAGTACCTTGAGAAACTCCAGGGTCTCTTCCCAGATAAACAGTCTCTCAAAGAGAGACTCTACAACTAACACTACCTGCCTTCTCTTTCCTGCTCACACCAACTCCTACCAGACTACACATCTTCTCTCAAGGGGCCTTTTTTCTAGGTCAGTCTTAAAAGATAGCAAGCAAAGAGATACAAGCCTAAAAAAAAAAACTACCCTTTATGCTTCCCAAGAGCATAACATTCCTATTTATTGCTCAGAGGCCTTTTTATGGAGTCCAGGATCACACTGATTCCCCTAAATCAGGAAGTATTTCAGTCTCTAAAGTCTTCATATGCACCTGGTTACCTTCTTCCTCATCCGGTTTCACAACTGAACTAGGGCCTCATGCAGACGAGTGCTCTACTTCTTTCTTCCTACCCAGACTTGCCATGCGTGTAAGCACCTCCCAGCTCCCCCCTGCATGTCCTTTGGACATGGAGCTTCAAAACTAAACCCTCTTTAGAGAGGCTCCAGGCTGCAATTCCCAAAGAAAACAACTTTCCACTTGCTAAAAGTCCTTCCTGAACTTCCGCCGGATTTAAGGCCCTCTCCTATTCTTGTTCGGAGATACAGGGAAAACAATAAAACAAAATCTTACTCATGTGATGATCTGAGCACATGTTCAAGACGTGAAAGAATGACACTTAGCATCAAATCTGCAACCAGAGATTATATTCTCCAGGTAAAACAAGACTTCAACTGTCTTGCCTAAATTTAACCTCTGAAAAAACACATCAACACCACTTAACATTTCTGAGGGTGGGAAAGTTTCCTTCTCTCTAGAGCCACGACTTGGGAAGTTTAAACTAAAAATATAAAACTTACAATGCGATTCTCCCAAAATTTGTACTTTGGGCTAGTCAGCAGCAATTCCTTAGTAACCGGTGAGCAGTATAAGTTAACTTTCAAGCTGTGAGAAGACAAGAAAGCAGGTGAGTATTTTTTAGAGCAAGGGCAGTGAGCAATGAGCAGCGGGGAGCAGGCAGGCCGCGTCCTCCAGCCCCCTCTCCCTGCACCTGCAGGGCACCAAACCCGCGGGAGCTGTTCTGCCCCAAGCCGAAGCCTTGAAGGACAAGGCGA